ATATATATATATATATATATATATATATATATATATATATATATATATATATATATATATATATATATATATATATATATATATATATATATATATATATATATATATATATATATATATATATATATATATATATTATATATATAAATGTCTATGTGTTTACGAGCGTGGCTTAATGTATTCACGTACCAATTTAGATAGACACATGTACATGTATAAACATACACATATATTCATTATACACGCACATATATATATATATATATATATCAGACATTCATATACACACACGGACATATATATTCATATGTATATGTATACGTATATATTTATATATATATATATATATGTACATGTATAATAAATATATAGACATAGTTTTATCTGTATGTATATATACTCCTGTAAATATACCTATGCGTGACTTGCCCAGATATCGCCCGTTCTCCTTCTGTATAGCCATTGTTGCAGCTTGTGTGGTATTGTACTCCACAAACCCATACACATCATGTACCGAACATTCCACCACCCTTCCATGCACTTCAAACTGCTCCTTGAGCATCTGTCTGGTAGTTGACTTGTCCAGGTTCCCTATAAACACCTTGTACGGGTTACCAGTACCCATAGGTGCTTCACCCCCATGACCCGGTCGATTGGACTGTGAATGCGACCGATCGAGCGCTTCTTTGTCTCGAGGCTTGCCTCTCGCATCTCTCATATCTCGTGTATCTCTGTCACGTTCCATATCTCTGTCCCTCGGACGTTCGTTCATTGACATTCTATTGTTATCCGTGGCGTTATACCTACCACCATTCCCCCTACCGCTGGTATCAACACGACCTAATGCACCCCCCCGACCAGCCCCATCACCCCTCCCCATATCATCACGGCCTCTACTCCTATCGTTATTACTACCGCCATTGTTGTTGTTGTTGTTGTTGTTATTGTTGTTATTAGTATTGAAGTGGGGGTTGGTATTGCTATTTCCGCGGTTCACACCGTTATATAAGCGTGGATCATTGCCTGCCCTGGGATCCCTGGGTGCATTTGTATCTGACCACGACGGCTGCTGTGCATTAGGCCCATTATTAGGCCCATTACTATTCCAGTTACCGTTCCTGTCTCTATTATTGTTGCCATCTCTGCCTGTATACTGGGTTCTGGTGTTCGGAATAGCATTCATATTGGCATTGGCATTCTCATTGAATTTGTTGCCAGGGGGGTTGTTGTCCCTATTCATGGGTCTCATATTCCCTCCCATATTACTGTTGGGGTGCATGTTAGTATTGTTATTGCTATTGCCGTCCCTTCCGCCAAATGTATTCCTCTCATTTCCATTTCCATTTCCATTCATATGCGGTTTACTGTCGTTGTTGGGGTGGTTGCTGTTGTTGTTTCCATGGTGAGCACCCTTCATATTGTTGTTGTTATTGTTGTTGTTGTTGCTGTTGTAGCTGTTCTCGTTTCTTCCCCCCCCATTCCAGCCGCGCGCCCCCCGGCCATCCATGATAGAGACTGTCTATCTATCGATGACTAGATCAAATGATGCTCTAATATTGAAAAGACTGTAATCACGACGATTTATGGACATGAGATAGGAACACCTTTCCCCTATTATCACCGTTACCGACAACTAAACCCTATTAACAGAGATAATCACAAGCATACAGACAAATTATTGTAATGGCGTTGTTATGTATACATGTATACATACACAACACAC